TGAAATCTAAAAACGTTTAAATATATATTAAGACTAACTTGGTGTATCTGAACACTTTCGAGATCGAAGACAAGTTATTTTTGTTTTTACAATTAATAAGCTTATGTTATTCATGCAAAAATGCCTTGAGCAGTTGATTACAACAATTAATTGCTAACATTTTTTTATGGCATAAGCCGGTAAACGAGCAGGCGGATCACCTGATGGTAAGCAATCGGCGTCGCCCATGGACACCCGGAACACCAGGGACGTTACAAGTGCGTTACCGGCCTTTTGGGGATTAGGAGTTTGAAGATCGTTGAGGATTCAGAAATTGGGGAGATTGGGAAAGGGGAGGGTAATTGGCTCCGGTAACCTCACTCACACGACAAAACACAACGCAAGCGTTGGTTCACGTTGGTTTTCTGTGAGGCCGTGGTATCACTCCGGTTAAACCGGCCCATTCGTGCCGAAGCATAGCTCTCCCACACTTTTCAAAATAAAAGTATTTTTTTCCATTCCTTGTTTTTGTTTTTTGGAACTTCTCTTTACACCCAGTACAGTTTTGAAATCCTGATTATACAGCTTCGTTTTAAATAAAAATGCCTAATTAATGTGTGTGTACACAAGTCACATACCAAATGATAGCTCACACATATAGACCATCCATAAAAAAACAAATCAACGGATGACGTCACAAAAATCCTACATCACACATTTGAAGTTTACATGCGAATTCATAGATAGAAAATTCCAATGACCAACCGTTGGGCGGAGGTGTGGGCGCAGGTGCAACAGCAGCAGCTTCTCAGCAAGCTGCTGCTGTTGCACCTGCGCCCACACCTCCAGCCACGCGGCGAACAGTTCGGCTTCAGGGCGGAACACTCCACCACCCTGCAAGTGGCGAGGGTACTGCACGACCTGGCGGCCGCGCGCAACAAGCGCGAGCGCGCCGCGGCAGTATTCCTCGACATGGAGAAGGCGTTCGACCGCGTCTGGCACGCCGGCCTGCTCAGCAAGCTGGCCACATCTACTACTCCTCGACGACTAGTTAAGATCGTGGCCCCCTTCCTGCACGGCAGAACCTTCCAAGTGGCAGTGGAAGGCACTCTGTCGACCGAGCGGAACATCCGTGCCGGCGTGCCCCAGGGAAGCTGCATCTCACCTGTGTGCTACTGCGTGTACACGGACGACATCCCCGTCGCGAGCGGCGTCAAACTAGCGCTGTACGCCGACGACGCCGCCTACTACACGACATCAATGAACCCGAGGCACGCAGTAGTTAAACTACAGCGCGCCCTAGATGCACTCCCTGAATGGCTGGAGAAGTGGAGACTGGCTGTGAACGTGGCCAAGACTCAAGCGCTCGCCGTGGGGATCATGAAGCCGACACCCATGACACTCATGGGAGAGCAGGTCCGGTGGGCGCCGAGCGTTAAATACCTCGGCGTGACCATCGACCGCTCGCTCTCAATGACGCCCCACGTGCAGCAGGCTGTTGCTCAGGCGCGCGCCGCGCGTTGCCTCTTGCGCCCGGTGATCGACTCGGCGCTGCCTCTCCGTGCGAAGCTCGGTATCTACAAGGCCTACATTCGGACACGGCTCACCTACGCCGCCCCGGCATGGTACGCGCTCGTGTCCGAAACCAACAAGAAACGCCTCCGTGCGCAGCAGTCACTGTCGCTGCGCACCATCGTACAGGCCCCGCGCTTCGTACGGAACGCGACAATCGCCCGAGACCTCGGCGTAGAGAGCGTCGACGCATTCGTGCAGCGCCTGAGCACCACACTCTTCGAGCGCTCCGATCGGTCGCGGCACGACCACCTCCGGGAGCTGGCGCCCTACCACCGGCGCCCCCCCGACGGCTTCGGCCTCCCAAGAGACCTGGTCGCGCTGACCGACCCATCGGACACCGCGTGAGACTCCCGCCCGCCCGCTGGCGGGTCGGTAGAGTCTCCGCCCCCACCGGACACGACCGCGCGCCGCTACCAACCCGCCGCTCGCCGGGCTCCCCCCGGCTCGAGCGCGGCCTCTAGCGGCGCCCCCACTGGACACGACCATGCCCCGCCAACAGCCTGCGGCTCGCCGGGCTTGCCCGGCTAGAGCGCGGCCCATGGCGGGGCAAACCACCGGACTCGACACCGCATCGGGCCCCGCAAGGAGCCCGACTAACCCAACCCCTCGCCTGCTGTAGCAGGCAGCGAGCGCATCCGCCGAGACAGGCATCGGCCTGGAACGCGCGACCTCGCGCCCCCTGCCGGGGACGCAGAGAAGACTCGACGGCGAACCGTTGGGCAGAAAGTCCGCCAGACACGAACACCTCGCCTCGTTGATTCCTCTTTTTCCTTCTTAGGGAACTCTACTCTTTGTTCCCTAAAAGATATACTCTTTAATAAAAATTTTAGTATTATTAAAATTCTTTCATTTTTATAACTTTGCCCTACACTAGGATAGTCTCCTGTGTCGCGGGGGCGTTTACAAACATACAACTTCACATCCTTTTACCATAATCAACTTTAACCTTAAGAAAAACATCAAATACATGCACGTACCTTCTTTATCAAAATGAAAATAGATAAACTAAACTTGGTTATCTATCTAATATCCTCAATTTACCCTCTTGATCGAGACTACCTAGGTATTGGGTTCTAGATGTTCATAGGTTCTATTTTAGGATTTATCTTACACTCTGCTTAGCAACCGTAAGTACTGATTTGAAATACTTAGGATTTATTTTCTCTTATATATTATAGTATATCTAAGTGGATCTAATAGTTAAAAGGTATTAATGGTTTATGAAGAGTTCTGACTGGTTTTTGAAGGAAATGCTCTTAATTGCTTTAACAGGAAGAGCAGAAATAGCTAGCACCAGCGTGTTGTTGGCGTAGCATACTACGGGATCGCCGTTCGGGAGGTCGGTGCATAGCACCCAGTCAGTCATAACCGATCTTCTACAGGAGCGGTCCCAAAATCGAACTCTGTGTAACACCCATGTGACATCTCTCGCCGGTTCCACTTACCCTGGTGACCGGGGTAGCTAACGGACTTGTCCGTCAGATAGGTAAATCTCATGCAAACTTAGTCGCGGCTACCGTTCATCGCCCTCATTATCAACAGCCTATAAGTAGCCACTGCTCACCAAAGGCCTCTCGCACATAGAATATTTGTGCATTAATCACTACATTTGGTTCGACAATGCAGGTTGGCGATTTCAATCTTATAAGTACAAATTGTAACACCAGGTTTCTTTACAATGTTTTTCCTTCACCGTTTGTCAGTGGTGTCTAAATAATCTTAGATCTTAGAAAGTACTTACATATAACTACGGAAAAGTCACATTGGTAGGCAAGTATTTGCCGTTAGTAGGTGTCTACCCCGTACTCTGATGCATGAGGGTCACGCTTAAACTTCCAGGCCACCGCAACACACGTGCACTCACTCTGCGTGCTAATGTTAGAAATTCATTTATGCTTGTTTATAGAGGTATAAAATAGATTAATTACAATGGTTATTTTATCGGTTTAACATCTGTTTTGTTGCCAAAATTAGAACATAAACCACATTGTCCAAATAGGATGGTAATCCATTATGTCAGCTCAATGCGTGCAGAATAAATGGAGTTCATTTACAAAATGATGCATTATTGTGAAACGCTTGTGGTTCACAATAAATAGTTGCCATGTTCGACAATCGTGTCCCCGCCAGCCGGTCAAATTGCGGTCAGGAATAAACCTATTTGGGGGCCTAGTATAAGTTTACAAGCTTTTGTTTAACTTGCAATATATATATGAATATATGTAGATGTAGTGTGTGAAAATATCTTCAAATGATTGACGTTTACTTTGCATGACCATAAATCCTTAGGTGCATAAAAGACACTTTCTTCTTAATTTCAATTTATTTTTACGTTAACGCAATCGAATCGTTATACCGTTCAGCCCGCTGATTAGTTAGTTAACTTGAAGTAGCCAATCAGAGCGTCGAACGTCATAAACGTGTCGCTTTAGGCCTTCAGATCAACCTTCGTACTAGGACCCAACATTTATACAACAATACACCCCAAACACCAATAAATAATCGGAGCTATTTCTCATGACCTTGAAAAACAACCGAGACCATTTATTGCCAACCGTTTTCTGATCCACATGAAAACCTTTTCTCCCTCTTCATATGATGAATGAATATCCATCCTGGAGCCTTTACGAAGCAAGTAAAAGTTAGTTTTTCAGAACATTCATGATTTATCCGCCCATTCGCAAAAGCATAATGATTTACGACTAGGATCGTTATCACAAAACATTTTGTTAAACGAAAAATGGTCTGACGGAAATAATATTTTGGACATTATTTTCACAAACACTTATATTTCTTTCGACGTAAAATGCATGCAAATGGATGAGCCGATAGTAAAATGAAGATTTTATTTCTATAAAGAGAAACAGAATTGAAAGCGTTAGGTTTTAATTGAGAAACTTTATTCACTATACATTTTAATACAGCAATTCTGATGACCTAGAATCTGTAGTGATAGTGGCTAACCAGAACAAGCGCCGGGACAGCCAAGCCAGGTGCGTTCCAGGAACAAGAACAAATTGTCTTAGATCTTGTCTTTTTAATCAGATCATTTAATTCGAAGAATACCTCTAGAAAACGTTTCCTTAACTAAGTTACTTACGACAGACTTATGTAAATTAGATTTCAAAATGGGAATTATATTTTTATCCAGATCTCTTATCATTAGATTTAGTAATGCCCTTTAGGTGAATTTTAATAATTCATGCTGAATTTATCATCACGAATCTCCGATTTAAACTAAAGACTATCTTCTCGCCCACTTTTTCTTAAAGCTAAGAACTCACGACGCGATCTTCTCCCGCGCCCGCCACGTTGGAGGAATCAAGGCAGAATTTTAACGCGGACCATTTTATGCGGTCCTACAGCCTCCGCGGTTACGATTATTGCCCGTAAACTTGATAGTTGACTACACATTAGTTGAGTTCCAGACCGGCTCTCCCATTGCAATGGCCCGCAAACCGATCGCAGACCGCGTGGGTGCAACCCCGCCGCGACCAGTAAAAATTGCTTTGATTTTGTACATACTTAGAATAAGTATGCGGTTAACAAAGAATGCGGTCCCGAAACGACGGCGGGCGCGAGAGAAAATCAAAAGTCGCGCCGTGAGTTCTTAGCCTAATAGATGTCCATTTAAATCGATATTATCTTTTCAAATTAATTATAATCTGTTTTCAAATTAATTGAATAGATTTAATGTTTTTCTATTTTGGGTAGAATCAAAAACATCTATTTTGGTCTTACATTGATAATGTCTTCTTTTTTAAATCACTCATTTAGCTTTTAGGCCAAGAGTCTTTATAAATACTTAGTAAATTCTATGTTTATACTACCTCTAAATAGTTAAATGAATACTAAAATCGGGATTCTGAGTGATATTGTGTAATTACCATCATTAAAGAATCTATTTTAAGACCTATTATATTGAGTTCTAATTTGTCTGAAGTAATATTGTTTTATTTACGATTTAGGTTAGATATCTGTAATGAGCTGTAAGCCGTAGTCTATAAACATTTTAAACCGTTTACAAGATCACTATAATTTTATGGGTTCATGTTTTAGTTTCACAAACAATACTTAGATACAACGGAGTTAAGTTTAGGAGGTAACGTCACACGATATTTTAAATCAATATATCGTCGAGATTAATCGGTTTTTGTAAGATAAGAAAATTTAAAATACGTGTCTAATGTTGTAAAATAATCTACCAGACAGATAATAAAATAAAAATTTGGTCACCCGCCCTATTGAAAGGCCACCTGTTGAAAGAAAAATTCAGTTGTCATTCACTCATCCACTCATTCGTTCGGCGAAAACAGTCTGGTTTTATATGTCAGTAATTCTATTTCGCTTGTCGGGAGTTTTTCTGGTTCGAATCACCCAACCATCACGTGCCGCCTCGTTGGTTCCATGTTCGATTGCGTGACGGCTAAGAATTTTATCTGTCTGGGTCTGGGTGCCTTGTAAATATTATTTGATTATTCCAGTATTTTTCCCATATTACATCTCACATGTGGATTTCTGTGCTTGTCTGGGTAGTCGGGCTTTTGATCTTGTGTTCCAAATTTTTGTTTTATTGTTTTTTCAGACTTATTGCTAATTTAGTCACTATAATTTTGTAGGTAAATTGGCACTAATTAATATAGTATATACATACATCACGCTTTTTATCGCCGAATGCTATTGTACAATATAACAACCTCTTGTAATAGGGGGTAAGCCTATTTCCAGACTCCGTGCTACAACTGAGAATTTTTCAAAACTCAGTAATAATTTGCCCGACTCTAAAATAGAACCCGAGACCCCTTGTCACTTACCCTTATCACGCACTTGCAACCACTCGACCAAAGAGGCAGTAAACTCGGCCAACGAGACAGTCAATTAGCACATATTGTTTTTGAAATATGGCAAGCATTAGTCTCAGGACTGCTTAAAATGTTTTATAATGGTTGTGATTTCAACAAATAATTACAATCATAACTGCATTTAATATCGTTATTAAATACAGCCGTTTTAGGACTAATATCTATAATTCAGTGTTTATTAAATTTAGTCATAAATGTGACTGATATATAACATCACGCCTTTTATCCCGGAGGGGTTTGGTAGAGGTGCACATTATTGCACTTAATGCCACTGTACAATGTAACACCTACTTTTGACTATTTTATATTATGAGCCCCATGTAATAGGGCGTGAGCCTATTGCCATATACCGCGCAAAATTTCAGATTCCGTGCTAGTACTGAGATCGGCCAACGAGGCAATAAATGTGACTGATACACCCATTATTTTAAGATCAGTATTCACTCCATTTATTATTTTTAATTTCGAGTTGAAAGTGTGGTAGGATATTTCTCGAAAACTTCAAAGGCATAAGAATATTTATTTTATTATATAATCACCATAGGTGAATAATCACCAGACACAAAAATATACTACAGAAGTAAGTAGACAATATAGTAAACTTGTCTAGTTCGCCAACCAGGCGTACTTAGACAAATTAAATGATATCAAACTACACTTTCACATACTTTGACATTCTACCTCTGGTTTCGAAGTTCAGTTTTGTCAAAGTATTGTATTGTACCTACTCAGGTGACTGTCTTGTCTATTTAGTTGTTCGAGTTTCGAAACTCATTGGTGTTACAAAAGGTGACCTTTGTGACATTGAGGATGGCTTGAAAGTAGACTGAATTTTATTAGGAGTTTTCAATCTTTGACTACTGAAAAATTTTATATCGACTGCCTCGTTGGCCGAGTGGTCGCAGTGGCGTGCAGTCCATATAGGCGAAAAGGCTTCGCCTACCTATAAATATCGTGAATATATAACATACATAAAATGTACAAACGCGTTTATTAAAATTCAATAATATAATAAAAGTTTGTAAAAAAACGGCTAACATAAATACGCGCCTTTGTAAAGTAATGAATGCGCCCCGCACGCACCACGCATGCGCCACTATTCCTTAAATCTTGGTTGGTAGTAGTGACGTCACAAAAGAAATGTACCAAAAGTATGCACCGCGCATGCGTGAAGTTCACGACCATAGTCACGGTACAGAATAACCATTCATAATTATATTACACGATTCCTGTTGATTGACAAAATGTTTGCAACTAAAAAATTAGAGGACCGTTCGTTCATCACTTGGAAAACGATCGTATTTTATTAAGAATTCTAAAACAATAAAACAGCAACAAGTTATTGTATTTTTAAAAACAATTAAATTATAAAAGGTTTTAAATTGATAAAATCTGTATATCGTAAAGTACTGATGAATGGAGTACATCAGCGCCATCTATTGAATTTTTTGTTGAAACTTCTGAACTCGTTCGATATAATGCGAATGTATTTTTATAAATGCGTATTTAACAAATATGTTTCAAGTGTTTTAATTAAAGCTTAACATTTTTACGCGTTGTCGGTTTATAGAAATTTTAAACGAGGAGTTGACTTTATTATTATAAAAGTTAAAAGGAAGTTATTGAAACTTCAAGATGGCGCCATTTACAACGTTTCAAATTATATGAATGAATGTTTTTTAGTATGAAATATTGGTTTAAGACGATGATGCAATTTCATTTGACTTACTAAATTAACCTTTGTTTTTTTTAAATTAAACGCTGCATTACCTTAATTTTTAAGCTACATTTTTTTATAATAAACACTCAATTGACTATTGGTAATGACTTCAATTCGTTTCCAATGTTTTCGGCCATATTGTTTTCATGTGATGTGCGATCGCTTTGTTTATGTTTTCGTTTAAATTATTAGGAATTAGTTTTAAACATAAAGTTGCATAAATGTGTAGTAGTAGTTAAATATATGTGTAGGTTTTTCAAATAGTGTATTTGTTTATCAGTTTCTAGTACAAGTACCTATATTATTCGATTGTGAAGTGTGTGTGAATAATAGGTAATTTTATGTGTTTGTTGAAAGTAAAAACAGTAAGATTTCGCAAGAAAATGTCCTTTATCGGACTAGATTCAGGTAAAGACCATAGGCAGAGGTGTACTCGAGTTACGAGAATTGACCCAAGTAAAAGGTAGGTAATGTAAATATGTACTATAATGGATCTTTTATTTGATTTTCTTGTTTATTGTTTGATAATTCTTAAAAATATCAACTTAGACTTCGGGTTGTACTGATTCACATATTAATTTATTATTAATAATTATGTAATGTAGTAATAACATATGTACCGCATAGACTCGGCCGGCTCGGCCACAGCCGGCCGCGCTTGTTATTGTTTTGTTTGTTGACATAATGTAGGTACCTACGCTCTTAAATTCGTAATATATTATGATTTTGAACAGATTGATTAAACTAAACAATTCCATAATGAAATTTGGTTCATCAAATTTATGCCTTATTATTAAAATAAATAATAGATCCTTCATTATTTGTAAGTTTTGTTGGCTTATTCAATAGCTGATGAAGTACTTCACAAAAAATACGCGAGTTGTCAGTGTATGTAATTTGGCGAAAGAATACACCACAATATTCTTGAACGCACTTTTCGAAATGTATTATGTACATGTACCTATCTTGTGTGAGCATGATTGTATGACCGGCGGGGGGAGAGGGGTTTAATCATACGATATTTAGTTGCCTACCCTGTCTCGAAAACCTGTGCACGCCACTGAGTGGTCGCAAGGGCGACTGCCGGGCAAGGGGTCTCGGGTTCGATTCCCGGGTCGGGCAAAGTATTATTGGGTTTTTTTTTTAATCTCAGTAATAGCACGGAGTCTGGAATTGTGCCCGGTACATGGCAATAGGCTCACCCCCACATTACAGGGGAATCATAACATAAATAGTGAAAAGTGGGTGTTACATTGTACAATGGCATAATGTGCACCTCTGCCTACCCCTTCGGGGATAAAATGTGTGATGTTATGTTATGTCAATCTTTGAGTCTGAAATTGTGCTGGCCGTATTGCAATAGGCACACTGCCTATTACATGAGGCATTAACGTATCATTCATACCAAACGTATTTGTGCTACTAATTGTGAATGCGAGCTATGTGGTTTATTGCTTTTCATATATTTAACACCCCGTTCACACCGAACCATAAGCACAATCACGGTCGGCGGCAGACAAGACATTTGGTGTGAACGATGCCTAACATAGGTATAAAAATGAGTATTATATTAAAATGTGTAGATAATTCTGCATCTCTGCCTACACCCCGAGAATTAAAGATGTGACGTAAGTTAAAGTAACAGAATACTTAACTGTCGTACTATAAAAACATTTCACAAATGGGACCTAGTCGGCGCCGCTGAAGGCTTAACGGTTAGACGGAGCTCTGGCTCGAAGACCTAAGGACTAAGGACGGGGTGGTTTTTAGTCAGCAAGAGTTTGACAGTCCATCTTGCCTCACCCAAGTAATTGGATGATTTACCCACCTCAAAAACAAGAAAAAATAGAGAACAATTTAAAAATAATAATTAAAATTATAGTGAAACAACAAAGGCTTTATACTCTACTTGTAA